AGGCATGGACTCCCCAGCGACCCCCGTGGGCTTATCTCCGCCACTTCTCAGTCTGGTGCTCCGCAATGAATCATGCTATACAAAAGGTAAAGCCGTTGCCCACGCTGGCTTGTGGTTGGCATGGTTAATGTTTCACAATAGTAGCTCGCGAACCGGTCCTTAATTGTCATGAGCACGACTCTCAAAACCATGTGCTCACAACCCACCATTATCAAGTTTTAGTTGGCAAGTAATTAATTAACCAATCACAATTGACCATCGTGAACTATCATTAAGCCATCATTAAGTAATAGTGAGTCATAAGTTATCCCAATAGTGTGCTAATGTTTCTAAGCATGGCTAAGCAATTATATCTAATATCTAGCTGAACCAATATATACATAGTCCAACTAGTCAAGTTATAATAACCCAAGGTATCAAGGAATAAAGTAATCAATGCAAACAGGCCATAACAAAGGAATAGATTCACACCACCCAGTGACATTCGAAAATAAATGCACAGTTGAAATAAATAGAGAATTTAAATATAGGATCAACATGCTCAAAGGATTGTGTTTAGGATCTGTGTGACTTGCCTTTGCAATAATCGGTCTTCAATTAATCTTCTTGAATACTTCCGGCGCACTCGCGAACCTTCGTAACGACGGAAACGACAAGCTAACACGCAAAACGAAGAAAAAGACTAATAAAAACCAAATAAACAATACATAAAAAGTAAACAAACATGTAGATCATAATTTTAGATGAATTATGAGACTTGAACGGCCTCATTCTGACTTCAAATGAATTTATTATGAACTTTACAAGATTAAATCTATTTAAAGCCTATTTAAAAAGGATTAAATAAATTTAATTCAATTTATGGATAATTTTAACATGTAGATCTTTATTTTATACAACTTTTGCAACTTGAACCACATTAAACTGAGTTACAATGAATTAGTTATGAATTTTCAAAGATTAAATCGGATTAAAGCATTTATATGGATTTTAATTGAATTATGACGCAATAATGAATTATTTTTGAAAAGGAAAAGGGAATTATTGCGTCAGCGGCTAGGGTTTGCGGTGGACCGGGTGCACGGCAACGGTTCACGGGAACGGACGGCCGAGATCGATCCATCCAAAATGGACGGCCGAGATCGAACGGTCCACGACCGGGCCACGGCGGACGGTCCCGATGACGTCAGCGACGACGTCAGCGATGACGTCAACACCGGCGGCGGCTCGGCAATGCATGCTCGCCGGCGAACGACGGCGCGACGACGCGAACGGAGGACACCAACGGGTAGAGGGCGACGCGGTGAACTCACCGATGACCAAAACAACGGCGAAGAGCAACGGATGGCGCCGGCGACGAGGAAGAAGCGGCGACGGTCTTCGGGTCGACGGTGACGGCGGTGCTCCGGCGGTCTTCGGCGGCGGCGGAGCGGTGGACGAGGACGGCGACGCGACGGCGACCACGATGGCGACTTCCCCGAGCGACGGCGACGACTGGAGCGACGGCGAAGCACGGCTGGAGCGGCGGCAACGACGGCGGCGGCTAGGGCTACGCGGAGGCGGCGCTAGACGCGACGGCGGGCTAAGGCAAAGGTGACGGCGGATAGAGGAGAGCTCGGGGGTGCTTTTAAAGGGGCAAGGAGGCGGCGGCGAAGACCCACGGCGACCGGCGACGCGAAGGAAAAGTTAGGGTTCGGAGGAAAGAGACCGATCCGAATCGACCTCGAATTCACGAACTTCCAAAGCGATTTAGACGATGATTCCAAAAGAGAAAAGGTGGAGGAGATCCCGAGGATCATTTCCCCTCTATTGATTTCACCGGAGAAGGAAAGGCGCGGCCGAATTTGGAAGGAGACGACGGCGGCGCGGCGCTAGGGTTCGGGCGGCGGCGGCGGCGCGAGGAAGACGAACCTGACAGGCGGGACCCACCTGTCAGCGGCCGAGAGAGAGGAGGAAGGGGCGCGGCGGACTGGGCCGACTGGGCCGGGGAGGGAGAGAGAAAGAGAGAGGTTTTGGGCTGGCTTTCGGCCCAAAGCCAAAAGATACTTTTAAAAACCTTTTTCGATTTAAATTATTCATGAAATGCAATTCCATTTATTAAAAATACTTCCTTAGCTCAAATAAATCCCAGAAAAATCTAGGAATTATAGAATTAAGCAAAGTATTTAACAAAATTTTATCTAGCCCAATTTTATATTGAGATTTAACAAATTAAAATTAGATCTTCTCCTTTAAGCTTTTAAGATCATTTCTAATTATTCCTTTTAAACAACAATTTATAATTTAAGGATTTTTAAACAAGGAAAAGCTCTTAACAATTATAATTAGATCATTATTGATCAAATAATTACTGAACTGTTCTTTGTATCATTTAGGAATTGAGCTCTGAAAAATCCGAGAATATTCCAGAGAGTTGACTTAATCATGGAGAATTTAATAAAAATTAAATCCATCCATGCTTTATATTTAGGAAATTTTATTTCCCACATTTAACTTCACTTGTAAATTAATGAACATTTAATATAAATTCTAATAATAATTTATTAAATAATTTATAAATCCTGAAACAAAAATCAGGATGTGACAGCATCCCGGATTAGCTGATCATCCGGACGTCATCTTCTCCCAAGTTGACTTCCGATCCATCATCGGCAATACTCTTCCGAGGCATCAAAACCACCTACACATGCAGCAACCAAGAAACCATATCTGAGCACAAGTTCTCACCAACATGACTCATTGTTAGCCAACAACAGTATTATATACGCATAGTATCCATATAGAAGTTATAAACATGAATTATCCAAGGATATCCAAAGAATCAACCCGAAACCGAAACCTACATAGAGTCAGCCGATCAGACCACTAGCTGGCCGGTCCGACTGCACGCATACATCCGATCGGACTAGCAGCACTTGCCCGGTCTAACTGGTTCAAACAGTCAACACCAGTTGCTGTTCATCACCTGCAAATCAATCATCTCCAAAATCACTTCGTCAATAATCTCTAAATATCAAAACCAATAATCCCATATGCCAATTGTTCACATAATAAGGACCAAACACACTTTGATTTTACACTTGGTCCAACGAACGAGATTCACCAACTTTGGTCAGATTGGATAGAGCCTTTTTTGCACAGTTTGGGAGGAGATGTTTCTGGATTCGTTGTTACAGAGCTCAGCATCAGTTGTCTTAGATCATTGCCCCTGTTTTGCCTTCGCACAAGTGTTCGGGGGCAAAAAGGGATTTCACTTTGAGAGTTTTTTCACCTAAAACGAGGGTTTTCTTGAGGTCGAGCAATAGATCTAGGTAGCTCCTATACAATCCTCTTGTGCAATTGAGGGTTTATTCCTCAAGCTAAAATGATTGGGCAAATGGATTGCAGAGTTGGAGTTAGAAAAAGGTGGGCAACTTTAAGATTCAGCTTTCGATGGCAAAGGAGATCCTCAACCGCATTAAGATTGCCAGAGATTGTAGACCTCTCACTGTTGGGGAGGAATGGTTGAGAATGAAATTGAATCTGCACTGCCTTGGCCTGGCATCTCTTGAGCGTACTATTGCTAGGTCAAGATCTCAGATAACTTTTCTTAGTGAAGGGGACGCCAACAACTCTTATTTTCTTAATCAGTCCTGCTACTGTAAGAAAAAAAAGAATCATTTCTAAGTTAATGGTGGATGATCGGGTTGTCACTTCTCAGGAAGAAAAACATGAGGTAGTTTTTGAGTTCTACGAGCATATTCTAAAGTCAGCACGTGATAGGGATTTCTTGTTGGATCTCCCGGATTTTGACGATAAAAAGTTTGATATTGATGCCTTGATGAGCCATTCTTCGACGATGAGATATGGTCTACTGTTAAGGCTTTTCACCTCGACGAAGCTTATGGTCTCGATGGTTTTACGGGTTGTTTCTACAAGGTGTTTGGGAGATTATCAGGTGATATTCTCTTGGCGCTTGCAGCGATTCAACAAAGGCATATTTCTTAATTCAAATTGTTCAATTAAGCCTATATCACTCTTTTGTCTGAAAAGGTGGATGCTTGTCGGTCATCATTATAATCGATCATCTGGTAGCAAGCGTAGTAAAAGACCCTGCCAACCCTAGGGTTAGACAGAAGTGCTATGGATGAATACCCCAAAGATGACGATACCTGTTAACAATTTGTGATGAAAATCTCAAAAAATTATGATAAATTATTCAATATATAGAAAGATGGTGTGTGCCTCTGTGCCACTAAAAAGTTCGAGCCTCCCTCTCCACCATCGTCGAACTTTATCACACCCTCCACACCATTCCATCGCTATTCTGCTTGGGTTTAACAGTTTGGCAGTTCTGACATGTGGGCCCAGGCAGGAAAAATGTCGCTCTTGCCCTTTCAGTCGCTGGCATAACTATTCTTTTGTTCTTTGATGGTGAAAAACATCTGCCATGTGATGAAACACTCTTCTTTTGTTCCGTTAGTTTGCCATGTTGTTATGTGGATGCAAACAAGTAATGTATTTGATAAGTCATGTCTATTGCCGACATTTAGTGCTATCATGTGATGAAACAGCTAGTTATGTGAGGAAACGACTAGTTATGCTATGTTGTTTCATTCTGGACAATTACACTTTCACCATTCAACATTGAAAATTCATTCATTCATCCATCCATACATCCATTTATCCATGACTACTCACACACACAACCACCTACTTCTTGAAAATAGCATACAAAGTAAGAAAAATGCAAATATAGACTATCTTTTCAAGCCACTTAGGCTTAGTTCATTTCCCTAGTTCCCAAGTCCCCACTCTCTTTTTTCACGCGCACACTTTTCAAACTGCTAAACGGTGTGTTTTTTGCGAAAAGTTTCTACATGAAAGTTGCTTAAAAAATCGTATTGATCAATTTTTGAAAAAAAAATCTAATACTTAATTAATCACGCGCTATTGGTCCGCTCCGTTTTCCGTGTGCACTGTTCCGGTCAGGAACAGGCAGCAACAAACACAACCTTAAGCTACTGCATCACCCTATTGCCCACTTGTGCATTGCCTACAATTCCAGCAGCCTGAGAACCTTCCTGCATGATAGCCAATGGAGCTGCAGTAGGGAAACCACCAAGTGGTGCCACTGCCATTAGGGGAACTGCATGAATTGGAGTAGGGGCATGAGGTGTCTGCACTCCAGTGTCCACCATTTTATCCTCCCACTGATAATACTGTTAGCCTCCAATCTGAAAGCCAAACCATTAACACATTAATTGTAAGCAAACAAAAAAAAAACCAAAGACAAGATGTGAGCAGAGAATGAAACACAAACTACAAAATAAGGGAACTTGTGAAAGGCATAGTTGCTGTTCTTTTTTGTTGTCGAGATGAACCAGCTTGCAAGCACATGGCAGTTGGGGCAAAGCACCCGCTTCACCCTACTACCATAGCTGCTGGATTCTTGGGATATGGTTGGAGAAGAAGACAGGTGAATGAGATGGAGATGGAGGAGTGGGAAGTACAAGGGCTGAGGTGTCATATGTAGGAGGAGAAGGGCCAGAGGCTCAGTTGGCGCCAAACAGCCCTGCCTTTGCCGCCAAAAAGAAACGCCTGCGGCTGTCCTCCGAATGGCACAGAAGAAAACAAACTTGTTCAAATGGTATCTCAAGCCTAAGGGTAACTAAGTCATTTGGCTGCGTCGTTACCCACCGTTACGACAAAAAACGGACGGAATGGTGTGGAGAGCGCGATAAAGTTTGACGATGGCAGAGAGGGAGGCTCGAACTTTTTAGTGGCACAGAGGCAGACACCATCTTTCTTAATGCCACATAGGGAAAAACCTCTATAATCGGTCATCTGGCAACAAGCGCAGTAAAAGACCTGGCCAACCTTAGGGTTACATAGAAATGCTATGGATGAATACCTCAAAGATGACGATACCCGTTAACAATCTATGATGAAAATCTCAAAAAAATATGATAAATTATTCAATATACAGATTAATAATATGTATAACTGAGCTCACATAAATCAGAGCATCAGGTGTTTTATTATTTTCTAACAAATCCAAAGAGATGCGCATGTCACAGATGTAAAACAGTTTTTCCTTATGGAAAATTAAAAAACAACAACCAGGCATGGTGATAGACACAAACCATGACGCTTATCACTACACATGCAGACATGCTTACAACGGCCCCGCAGCCCGTGCTCGTTTGATGTAGCCTGGTTGCTTGGGGGTCGGTACCTTCTTCTTGCCCTGAATCATTTTAAGAACATCCTGCATGGTTGGCCTCTCTGTCGCTTTGTTCTGGGTACAGAGCAGTCCAATATCCATGCATCTTTTGATCTCCTTCAGTTGAGATTCGTCGCAAAGCCGGGGATCGAATAACTTGTTCATACCTCCAGATAGACGTACGTTCCATGCCTGGGAAAGATAAAAAAAAATGTATCAACATGTACGACAAGTTTACTCAGAGTAATTAACACACATGGTTTCCTTTCATGACCGCTCCTCCGTGTACTAATATATTGAATTAGTTATGGCACGAGAGCATCTTAGTATAGAAGTCCAATTTCATACAAACAAATTGTGAACCTTGATCATTAAAAGGTTTATACAAACAGCATGCACCATATATCGGACAAGTTTACTCAGAGTAATTAACACACATGGTTTCCTTTCATGACCGTTCCTCCGTGCACTAATATATTGAATTAGTTATGGCACGAGAGTATCTTAGTATAGTAGTCCAATTTCATACAAACAAATTGTGAACCTTGATCATTAAAAGGTTTATACAAACAACATGCACCATATATCGGACAGTAGAGTTGTGATTGCAAAACTCCACCCAATGAGCCTCACAGATACGAGGAAAAAATATTAATTACCCCCTAAACTATCGCGGTCGACCGTATTACACCTTAGACCACAAAACAAGACATTATTTACCCCCAACTATACAAACCAGGCAAATAACTCGGTAATTCGTTCAGGGGGGTAATTCATACTTTTTTTTCCAAATATAATTATGTGTATTCTTAGTTGGTGTAGTGAACAGAAGTTTTATACTTTGCCAATTATTTTGTTGCTACCTCCATTTATAAAGTGGTGATGGATGTTTTTAACATCGATGAGTTTTTCATTAAAATTCTCTTAATATAATTTTCACAATTTAATCATGATATTGTTGCATCTATTAATGACTTCAAATTTTTTTGACATGTGACTACACACAATTTAGGACGCCATCATTTCGAGATCGGAGGTAGTGCAGATTATTGTTTTTTACACACGGTTTTGGACGTCATAATTATGTTGTCACAATATAGTTCGATCAAGTGAGTATTATATAAGAATTCAATAGTAAAAGAACAAATCTCAACAAATAGGTACTTACCCACTCAATCGAAGCTTGATGACGAGCACCTCGTCCAGACTCACTCATTCCACTAATGGTCTCAAGTAGTGTCACACCAAAACCGTAGACATCATTCTTCAAAGAGACAGTACCTTCTATAATATATTCTGGTGGCATATAGCCCCTAAATATCACAAAATACAAATTCAGATCCTATCAAGGGTATGTAGAGAAAATAGAAAGAAAATAATTTCAGAGGCAACGAATGAAATGCCATATATCTTACAGTGTTCCACTAACGCTTGCATTAATGTAGTCATCTTGTAATTCTTCAGATAATCCAAAATCACCAATCTTAGGGTTCATGTTAGAATCCAAAAGTATGTTGTCTGGTTTCAGGTCCAGATGGACTATAGGTTTCTCGGAGTGGGTGTGAAGGTAAACAACTCCCTGGGTTATCCCTTCAATTATTTTTAATCGGGAGGACCAATCAAGCAACCCCCCTGCAAAACCAGAACAATTTGAAGTGGGACAATCAGTAATTATAAACAACAAAAGTTAGGATCAAATTTTCTGTTTATAGTGCGTACCATAGATTAAGTTGCCCAAGTTTCCATTTGTCATGTATTCTTCAACCAGCAAAAGAAATTCTTCTTTGGCAGAAACATTTCCATTTGTGGCATTTTCTTTCGGCATTTCAATTTCCCTGTATTCGTGGCAATATCCTACAAGTTTAACTATATTTTTATGCTCAAGCATTGAACGTAGAAGGATCAAAGGATGCTTTTTGGGCATCTCGTCATATTGAGATGGAAATCCATCTGTATGTTTCTTGATAGCAACCTGAACCCCATCAGATAAAACACCCTGAAAAGTGCAAAATTACACAGTCAAAACAGCACCCAAGAAAGTCTTATCAACGTGGGAGTAGCCATGAGGCATACAGTACACCATGACACTAGATTACCAGCAGACATCTATCAGTAAAGATAAAGAATTATTGATAGATTTTGGCAAATTATGTGTTGACAATACTGCGTAATAAGACATGTTATATGTTAGGAAATCTAAATATTTTTTGGATCAAAATAACAGCAATATTATGAGTAGAAACAAATTATATATCCAGAGAACTTAATGATTATTATCCATCTGTCAGCAATGTTTCGTCTGTCAGATCATGATCTCACAGTTAAGATAGAGTGAGGTGAAAGCTCAGGCGGCAAATTCATTTAGGTGTGCGGGAAAATAAAAAAAACCGCCAAAATTTTTTCCACGCCAAAAAGAAAATCGACGCAAGAAAAAACCCTGGGCGCCGCCACCTCGCGGCCCCTTCCATGGTTCCACCATGCATTGCCACCTCTCCCTCCTTCCACTGCATGCGCCTCTCTCCCCATCCACCGCGCACACCGCCTCCTCCTCTGCCAAATCCAGCGCACGCCCGCCGCCACCTCACTCATCTCTCCCCCTCCACCGCGTGCCGCCTCCGCAAAATCCACAGGGCGACTGCCTCCACCACGCAGCCCCCTAACCGGTTGCCTGTGCCGATGGTAGATAAGGAGAAATGAATCCTACAAACCTATACAAATCATCCTTAACTTATTATAGTTAATAGCAATTCTCTGCCTTTTTTTCTTCTTCCATGCTAGTATCATGTTTTATCAAAGTTGTTGGCTCTAAATCAAGCTATCAATCAATCACCTACACACTGACACACGTCAACTCCTTTTTTTTAAGCCTAAGGCGGAACTTTGTTCCACTTTTATATTTAGAAGAGAATTGACCCAGTTTATAAGGAAAACCTGGCCCGAAAACCATACAACTGCACGGTTAATTACAGAAAAACCGGCTGAAACCCGCCGCTACACAACTAACAACAACGGCGGAGCACAAACGCAGGACGTCGCCGCCAGGCTAAACACAAAAGCGACACAATAGCTCCTACATCGCAGAAGAGGTGTTATCATTGCCGAGCTAGGCGCCCAAGCGACCTAGCAGCGCCGACTTCACAACCGCAGCGACACTGAAGGCACAAAGGTCGCCAAAGCGAAAAGCAGCTTCGGCATCCAACAATGGGCATCAGCCAAGCCACCGAGGAGCCACTTCCTTCACACGGCTAGCACCAGAACTCCTTGGAAGAGACTGCAACATGTCATCATTGCCAAGCATTGCCTGGATTAATGCCATACTGCTAGGACAAATTAAAAATCTATTCGATTCTTGAAAAACCGCTACCGGTCCACCGGTTCCCATAAAAACCACCCGGTTCACCCGTTTTTTACCGGTTCGATTGCAGGGCGGTCTTTTTGTTGAACCAAGCCGCCAAGGTCCCTAGTTCTGGTTTTTTCCGGTTCAACCGCCGGCCTGGTCCGGTTTCTTGTACTATGCCGTAGATCGAGTCATGTTTAGTTTGTGCTTTGTTGACATCATCGCATGGATGACAAACAATGCATCATAGGAAAAAATATTCATTTGTCGCCATGAAAAAAATCAGGGCATCAATACTATTGAGGCAATATATACATGTTGCTACAATTTTAAAATTGTTGCTATCCGTGGTAATAAATAGGGTGGTAATAGGTTATTGCAATGATTTTTATTTGATGGTAATAAATTTTGATGTTGCCACGGAATGGATGTGGCAAAAAATCATATTATTGCCACCACTCCATATGTGGCATTAGTTCTACGTACTAAATTAAAAGTTCAAATATTAATCTATCATCATAACTATTTATTTTTTATAACTTGTATTGGCTAGGATTCGAACCCAAGACTTATCCTCACATGCGCTCTCCTTTACCAACTCACCTCACCTAGACATCATTTCTGTTACAAAATGCATATCGTTCCATTTAAGCCTACCTAACTGAGATTTGAATCTAAAAGATTTCAAATGAAAAAGTTATCACCTATAAAGTTTAGATCTCGTTGAGAGCTATAATTTTCTTATAAAATTTGTCCCAATCTATGTCCATATGAAAAAAATATGTTAAATTATGAGATGACAATTTTTTTATTGCAACGAATTTGTTGATCGTGGCAATAGAAAATATTGAAAAGTAACTTGCCATAGCCATGTACTATGCAAATTACCAAAAAATTAAAATTGTGGCGATAGAACATTTTTTTTCAACAATAATGTTTTTTGGTGATATATCATTTTCTATTACAATAAAAATACTAAATAAAATAACGACTGTAAATTGTTACAATAAAATATAGTTATTTGCCTAAAAATTATCATTGAAATAGTACATTATATTGCTATGAATTATTTTTTGTTATAATAATTTAATGGCAATAGCTCAATTATCTTGTAACGATTTTCTGTTTGTTCCTTGCATCGTGGCTACTATTCTAAAACATTTCAACCATGTTCAAATACACAATAAAGATTAAATGGCTATTTATGTGCGCATGATCCCACACATCGAAAGGTATCTGGTGGACAATTGTGAATTGGACAATACGAGCCTCATCGGTTATCCATATTTTCTAATAAGCCAAAACGGCTTATAGGAAATTAAAATTAATTTATAAATAAAACTTTTATATGTATGTTCGTAGCAAATTAAAAGCCAACGCTAAATGAAATTACGTTGAGAAAATCTTAAAATCAACATCAAAATCAAGTTTAAAATTTCAAGTTTTAGCTTTTACTCTTATTAGGTAAACTGATGGGGCTCTATAATAGTTGTGCCTGACATAATTGAACTGGGACTAACGAGCCATTGCTATATATAGTTGCTATATAATTGATCCCAAAATTAACTAACATGATCCAAAACTGAATTGCTCCCAACCCGAGCAAACCAAGACGCCAAGTTAGAATTGGGACTGACCTTGTAGACAGTTCCAGAACCACCTTGACCAATTGTTGTTGCAAAGTTATGAGTGGCAGCCTCCAACTCAATAAAACTGAAGTTCATTAATTCCCTCTGTCGAACACGGGGAAGTTTTGGGATTCCTACAGGAAGTGAACTTCGTCTTGCCCTGATGACGGCGAACATCTCTGTAAATCCAGCTGAACATCAAGAAGCGTTTTAATTTGCAGCAAGAAGAGAAAAAAAATAATATTCTCTATTATAAAGAAGTTTGAAGTGTATTTTCATTCGTTAGAACAGCTAGGAAGCTAGCCCGTGCACATGCCGGGGTACCTTAATATTATTTGAATTTTTATTATGATGATTTATGTGTGGTGATTTATTTTTCTAAATATTCCTGGACTCATTTTAAATATGTATTTTTAGTATTTTATTTGAGCATTGGCTATGATTTTCTTCTAATTACCCTTTCAACATTTAAATTTTAACCTAAAATTACTTTGAACCATGTAGTGTTGAATTTGTGAGAAAATATTATGTTACAATCAAGAAGTTGATTTCTATGCATTTTCTACCATGTGTTTCTTTTTTAAAAAAATATTTAGCATATCATTTTTTTCCGAGTTTTCAAACTTCAAGTAAAACTTTTTCTTGTACTATAAAAAATGCCCATGCGTTGCAACGGGTAAAGGTAATTTTAATCTTATTATTATTATACGGTTTAGTTAAGGCGAAGTTGGTAAAATTCACTGTAGAAATTTGCTTGGATATATATATTTCTAGAAAATCATAAGCTGTAGTTAGGAGTCCAATCATCTCAAGTTAGCATGCGAGTTTTTTAAAGAGATATCTTATACGACTCCTTCCATATTTTCAAAAGTGAGCGAACCTAAAACCTGTCTCAAATACGGATATGTATTTCCAAAATTAAACGAACTTAAAAACCGACTCATACACGGATAACGCACAAAAATACCAACAAAAACATCTTCACTTTTTATAATATACTAGAAAAAATGCCCGTGCGTTGAAACAGAATGAAAATTATGGAAAATCTCGCTAGCGGATCCCGTCTGGAGCAGAGGGATGTGAGTCGCCATCCATCTTGAAGGTGAAGTGAGGAGAGCACAGCCGATCGGTGGCAATGAAAATGCCGGATGTTTTTTCATGATTTCAGGTGTGTTAGGTCTTGGATGCGACTGATATGTTCCGCTTGTTGTTATGCTCTTTTTTGAGGATTTGTGTTCTGCCACACCCTGATTTTTGTTTAGGGATTTGTAAGTTATTTAATAAATTATTTCTTGAATCTATATTAAATTTGATTAATTTATAAGTGAAGTTTAATGTGAGAAATAAAATATCCTAATTAAAACATGGCTATATTTAATCATTGTTAAATTCTAGATGATTAATTATACTCTCTAGAATTCTCCCATTATTAATTTTAACAATACAAAGAACATTTCGGTAATTATTTAAACAATTATTAGTAACTACATGATCTAGATAAATATTTTTAAAAATACTTTGAGTGTCCAACTATTTTCTTGATTTTTCTTGAAATTATTTGAGCAATGAAAGTGTTTTTTAAAATTTCAAGATCATTTCAGTGATTAATTTAAATGGAAAAGTAATTAAAATCCTCCCTCCTTGGACCAATTTTAGTGAAGTCTGATTTGGGTCCCTCTCTCTCCTCTCCAGCTGGCTTTACCTACTCTCCAATAAAGTCTAATTTGTGTCCTCCACGTTTCGGCCAGTTTGCTTCGTTCCTTTTCTATTCGGCCCAACAGCAGCAGAGCAAGTCTAGACTGCCTCCCTCACTCCCTCCTCTTTCTGTCGCCCGGGGCCCACGTGCACAGTGTCGTCTTCTTCCTCCTGCTCCAGACCGAACCCCGTGCACGTGCTAAGCCGGCGCTGCCAATCCTTCCAATGCCGTCACCCCCTTTTCTTCCCTATACAAATTGGTTGCAAAAATGGGTTCCCCTCAATCTCCTCTATCCTTTCCTCAAGAAAGCACCATCAATTTTGTGCTGAATCCCGCGAATTTCGGCTCAGTTTCTATCCCAGCAAACTCGGAAGAATCCTAGTTTTTTTCCACGTCCGAGTCCCGTCGTTCCCGAGCCGGATTCCTCTATTGATGGACGAAAATCAGGTGTGACGAAAGGAAAATTACAAATCTTTTAAGTAGTTAATATAAGATAGTAGAGAAGAGATTATTATTAGGTATAGATATAAATATGAATCGGACTTTTTATCTTTTTTTTTATGGATGCCGCATTTTTTTCCTTTTTTTTTCTTTTTTTCCATTGTATACGAATCAAACTTTTTATTTTTGCTTTTTTACATACGGCGCTTTTATCGTTGTTTATTTAACTTTTTTATTCATATGTCTTTTTTTTAAGTCAGGAATCAGACTTTTTTTCTTCACTTTTTAATTTTTTTTATTTTTATATGTATCGGACTTTTTCCACCCTTTTTAATTTTTTTAAGTACAGAGGATGGAAACAGCTTAAGCTTTTAAGATCTGTATCTTAAAACCTGTCTCAAGTACGGATATATATTTTTAAAACTGGCTCATACACGCATGACGTATCAAAATACCGATAAAAACATCTTTATTTTTTATAATAGTAGAGAAGAGATTATTATTAGGTATAGATATAGATATGAATTGGACTTCTTATCGCTTTCTTTTTGGATGGCGCATTTTTTATTTTTTCCTTTTTTTCTTTTTTTTCCATTGTATACGAATCAAACTTTTTTTTGGCTTTTTTACATACGGCGCTTTTTATCGTTGTTTATTTAACTTTTTTTTACAGATGTCTTTTTTTATCAAGAATCGGACCTTTTTTTTCACTTTTTTTTTCTGTTGTATATGTATCAAACTTTTTTTCGCTACCAGTTTTTTATTTTTACGGATGCCTTATTTTTACGTTGAGAATCGGACTTTTTTTTTTGGCCCTTTTTAATTTTTTAAAGTACGGATGATGGAAATAGCTTAAGCTTTTTAAGATCTGTATGTATTTCCAAAATCAAATAAACTTAAAAACTAACTCATATATATATGGATGACGTACCAAAGTACTATTAAAAACATCTTCAATTTTTATAATATTACTATAAATGTCTTTACATATTCTATAGTAACAATTTTTGAGGATGTTTCATGTAATTGGACATAGCAATCTATTTATTTCTAATCAGAGTGAGGCATTATTCGTGTATAGAGAGATATGACAGGCTAGATAGCGAGTGGAAGTCGGTCGCTCAGGCTTCACAAGCCAGTAATACCATGCTGTTTTCATGTGCCCTTAGGGTTACACCATGTCAAAGCGCGCGCCCCACGGCTGTCTTGTCTCTACTCGTGGCGACGACAGTACACCAGCATGGTATCTTCCGTTCTCATAGGCTAGTCATCTATATTTCAATGTTTTTTAAATGGTATATTCACATATAATAAGTTGATAAAGAGTATATTTCTGTTGTTTTAGGCAAAGCATATACGCAGAAAAACGACATCTTTCCCTTGCTGGACTTGTAGTACTATTCTCATGGGACTAAACTCCAGCTTAGCATTATAGGCTTGTTCACTTTGCTATCATTTTTAACCTTACCTTTTATTAGCAAAGTTACCAAAAAAAGTGGCTACATTTAGTTTGTTGAATCTTGCCAAAATTTTAACAACCTTATCAAAATTTGACAATGCCAAAACTTGGTAAGGTTGAAAATAGTAGCAAAGTGAACAAGCTCACATGTCAACCAGCCATGTCTAAGAATGTTCAGATTCGGACTTGCTCACTTATGATCCGATTTATTTGTTTAGATCAATCTACTCTAATGGTCATAACGTATAAAGAATAAAGTATAGGATAATCGGTTTAAATGAGTTTAATTTTTAAGATTTTCTCTGATAATCATCCTCCTATGCCAAAATCCAGTAGCTTTAGATCTCCATGCTCCCTGACCAGCAATGATAGATGTTATTATCTTCCATATTTATGAGCGAACCTATGACACCTCCGCGTGTCGGCCGCTCGACTCTAACTACATGCTGCCATTGTGGAAGTCGGAGGCACACGACATCCATTTGTACAAGTTTTTGCTGCTCGGCCAAGTCCGATAGTTGGTCACCAATTAACTTGTTGTATTTGAATTGTGGACTCATTGATCCTCCGCAGTTTAATGGGTAAGAGTCTAATATCTAATAGAGTAAATTGTATTCACGGTACATCAACTTAATAAGTGGATGCAATTTAATGCGAGAACTTGATAAATGAGCATACTAGTAAAACAATTGACAAGTGCATGCAACCTAGTAAAAAAACTTAATAAATGAGTGTATGTCCTTGAAAGGTGGGTGTGATTTTGGTATAGGCCTAAAAACTTAATTATTTTGAGCATTCTTGCTATACTTATTTTGTTAATATACATATATATAGATTTCTATAAGCATAATTTTTTTTGTCATTCTAGTAAATTAAAGTCGAACAAATTTTACTGTGTAGAAATTTTCTAGTTAGTATTTAAGATGGTGAAAAAAATCTAAATCAATGGCGCAAATTGGATGAGCAATATATTTTTACATATTACATTAATATCTGCGGGATTGCTATGTGATGATATATTAATGTCGTGAAATAACTTACATAGTACTCATTAACCAAAATAGCACATGTCTAGCCAAATTGATCTACATATAGTTTTTTTTTTGAGGTTATTCCTAAATGATCTACATATTTCTGTTCATTCATTAAGTCCATTCGTTATTTGTGCATTGGAGTAAATGTACATTGATGCATGCATCCATGCACACAAGTATTTATAACCCACATGCAATATCTTAATTTGCTATTGTCTACGAAATAGTGGGGATGGTGCATGAATTGAGTTTGTTGCTAGAGTAAATATAGTATGAGAGAGTTATTAGTTTTTCTTAGTCTTGGTGTATCTATGAAATATATAGATCAATTTGGAATGGAGGGAGTAGTAAATAAGACAAAAGAATAGAAAACTAAGTCCATTTAAAAAATGATTAAAATAGTTAGAGATAAGTATAATGCATTAAAAATATGTTTAGAACTTTAAGAAAACTTTTAAAACTTATAGAAATTAGATATAATTAGCCATGACTCTGATAAAGTCCATTTAAAACTCGTGATAATCCTTAGAAATAAGAAGAATTCATT